CTGACTCTAAGATCCCGCTATGCTCTGCCAATGGCGTTCATGGCCCGCAGATTGCCGAATGGGTCATCATGATGAATTTGGTGCACAGTCATAGCTACACTAAGCTTTATGACAACCAGAAGAACAGGGTTTGGGACCAGAAGGTGGGACTCAGTGTCAGTGATCGGGTGGGGAAGAGAGTGGGTATATTGGGGTACGGTAGCATTGGTCGACAAGGTATGTTTAATCAACTTCGAAAAGACGGAGAAACACAACTTTTGCTGGCATACTTGCTGCCCATGGAAGCTATGCTAATCCACGGCAGTCGCTCACGTAGCAAAGGCCATGGGCATGGACGTAATAGCCTACACAGCCTCACCACGCAAAACCCCAGAGTCCAAGCACGACAACGGGTACATCGTCCCTGGAACTGGTGATCCCGATGGCAGTATTCCCAGCGCGTGGTACAGTGGAACTAGCAAAGAAGATGTGCACGAGTTCTTGAAGCAGGAAATCGACCTATTAGTGGTTGCTGTGCCGCTAACGTGAGTAACCTGCCCACGTCATATACTGAGAAACGGTTCGATCATTTTTCACTAACACATCAACTAGAAAAGCGACAACGCATCTCCTCTCCACCGAGGAATTTGAGCTCCTGCACAAGTCCAATCCAAAGGGCACCTACATCGCGAACATCGCGCGGGGGCAGATCATCGACCAGAAGGCTCTCATCACTGCTCTAGAGAAGGAACATATTAGTGGTGCGGCCCTTGACGTTACTGATCCCGAACCTCTGCCTAAGGATGATCCGCTGTGGGATGCACCAAATGTCCTGATTACACCGCACTGCAGCGGAGCGTCAGACGCGTATGCCGACCGCGCGTTCCAATTGTTGGTTGAAAACATAAAGAGGGACCGAAGTAACGGCAAACTGATCAACGAGGTGAACCGCGAGAGAGGCTATTGAGCCAGCACAACACCCCAGACTATAGCTCCGTAGAACATTGAAGTCGATTTGATAGATCGATGTAGGGTATCATAGATGCCCTGGGTAGACTCCAAGTAATAGACCATGTGCCTAATCGTACAAGACTCTCCTGCGCTTGTCTCAATGGCCAGAGAAACGAAAGCATCGCGCAAACACCGAAACGTCAATGTATCACCGCCTGAACAGCCCAGAGATCATGCCGCCAGCCAGATTCCTCGCGAGACCCGAACCGTACATTGCGTTTGAGGCGAAGCCCGTCGCTTGGCTGAACTTGTCGCATCGGGAGAAGGCAAGGGTGTTCGTAATCGTAAGGACGAGCGCGATAACTGAGACCAAAACGTTAGCTCACCACTACCGATGCCCACAAGAAAGCAATTCGATACATACCAACAAGCGTCAACCAAATAAACTCCAAGCTGACGAGCGCGACAATCGCCAGCAGCACCCACAACACAGGCTGCGCATACAGCGCGAGCCAAAAGAAGCGCTTATCCGTCGCATTGATCTGGCGCCCCGTTTCCGGATCCAGACTCTCAAACACCCAGCGCCCGTCTCCTGTGTTGGCGTCGACTTCGTTCCACCAGCGGAGGCCGACGAGGCGACGGCCAGCAATGTTCTTAAGGTAGTAGAAGTCCATGGCGAGGAGCAGGATGGTGATGATGAAGATCATGACGAAGTTTGCGGTGAGGAGGCGGAGGCCGAGGAGGTAGACTAGTAGGGACGCTGGGGGAGAGTTAGCTGTGAAGGTGACATACTGGGCACGTATGCATGTGGTGCCTGTAGCTTGTAAGTTGGGATAACGTACAGATGCGAAAGGTGAGGAAGGTAAGCAGCGTGATGGGATGACTGCTTAGTCTCCAGCTCAGCGAACCAGGCGCCGGCTCTTGTTGTGCGTTCTCCATGGTTTCTTGTGCCGTCGGGGTGTGCGTGGTGCTGGGGGAAACAGTCCGAGACGTGTGAAGATCAGCTTCACGTGGCTTTCTCAGGGACGCGTCGGCGATCGGCGTTTGGGGGGAGCTTTGGTGGAGCTGCGACTTCCCCGCACGTCATAGGCTAGCGACAGTGTCCGAGGTGCGTAACGGCTGTATGACTTTCTGCCATTCAGGCTTATACAGTTTTGTGCTCGAGGCAGGCCTCTCGGAGGAAGTAATTCAGTCAGTTCTGAAGCAGGATGGCGGCGCCAATTATACGGAGGGCGTGCATGTACGGTATACCATCACCACTCCATTCACATACCATACAAGCAGTTCCACCAGTACCATACTGACACTCCTCACAGTGCCGTCCTCTTCCAAGAGAATGCTCGAAAAGTCCTTCGCCATGACCGCCGACAACGTAACCTACGACCTCGAAGACAGCGTCGCCCCGCACATGAAGCCCGAAGCGCGCTCCAACCTCCGCTCCATCCTCAATAAGCCCCGACCCGCCGGAATAAAAGAGATGTGCGTAAGGATAAACAGCGTAGACACAGGCCTCGCGCTGGATGACCTGACCGAAGTGCTCAAAGGCGAGCACCTCGATGCCATCATGCTGCCCAAGTGCGAAAGCGCTGCAGACCTGCATTTCGTCACGGACGTGATACGGCATCTCTCGCCCGACCGCCATCCTAGTGCAGGGACACAAGGGAAGAGGGAGCCAGTGCGCATAATAGCGCTGATAGAGAGCGCAAAGGCGATCCAGAATCTGAGTGAGATTTGCGCGGCTTCGCCGTATATTTCGGGGCTCGTCTTTGCGGCAGAGGACTTTGCTAAGGATATGAGTCTCACGCGTACACCTTCGCTTATGGAGTTTTTGTATGCAAGGAGTGCGATTGCGACGGCGGCGAGGGCTGCCAGACTTCCTAGTACTATTGACTTGGTATGTACGAGCTACAAGGGCGAGCAAGGGCTCAAGACACTGGAGGAAGAGTGTTTGAATGGCAAAGGGCTCGGGTTCAACGGCAAGCAATGCATACACCCAAGTCAAGTCGCCGTGTGTCACAAAGCGTTCAGTCCTGGCGAGAAGGAGCTTGAGTGGGCGACAAGGGTAGTCATAGCGGATGACAAGGCAAGCAAAGCTGGACGAGGGGCTTGGACATTGGACGGCAAGATGATCGATGCGCCAGTCGTGAAGAAGGCACATGCGATACTGAGACATGCTGAGGTATGTGAGATGGATGTAAGTGCTGTCAAGGAGACATGGAAGGGACAGGAGCCTGAGTAGCTGCCAATGCATGTTGGCATCTTCGTATTGTTCTCCTACATGATGACCGCGAGAGGACCGTATGGCTCTGATCTATACCGTAATCATGACACTGGCGTTCTTGTACCAGCTCAGCAAGGGGTTGTCACCATTCTTCGTCGTTGTCTCCGCAATGTCTGCTCTGCCGGCCATGAAATCTTCGTGTAGGTATGTTCGTGCGAAGCGTCCGGTTATCGACGTGTACATGGGTTCCATGACTTCGAAGTCAGTGGGGAAGAGTATGTCAAAGTAGCCTTGGTGCACCTGGGATGTATTAGTGGCTGCCTTGTAATCAAACAGTAATTAACTTACAAGAGGTGTCGAAACAGGAATCATCTGCCTCTTGTACCTCGTTTGCACAACAGGCGCATTGATACCTTCGACCGCATCGCCCAGCTTGTGGAAGTCGCTACTGATCAACTTGTGGTTTGGAAACTTCTCGTACAGCATGTAGAAGAACTGCATCAGCCGCGTTGGGATGTACTCCGGCATGCTCATATTAGAGCGGAACGGTACCAAGCTCTTCAGGTTATTCATGAGCCGCGAGCCTTGCAGCGGGTGTGGGTATGTGGTGCAGGCAGCGTGTCTGCGCTCGAGGAATTGGGTAACGAGGGGGTCTATGGTGCGCGAGTAGTATTCGAAGAGCTCTCCACGAGGATCAATGACGACGTGGGATTGATATGGGAGGCCCGTTTCGAAGTCGTACTTTAGGGCATCGTGTGCGAAGTTGTCGAAGACTTCCAATGCGAGGAAGTAGCAGGGAGAGGAGACGTAGATGTTCCAGTCAAAGACACTGCGATTGATGATTTCCACTTTGTCAGAGTGACCTCGCGCATATGCTGAGTGTCCTAGACCCTTCTGTTGCAGATCGGCTAATTGACTGGAGATCTCGATGATCTTGAACTTGGTCCGCTCGTACACGTCCGGGTGCACGTCTCTTATGAAATCGAGGATGTTCAACATCATTGTACCGTTACCCGCGCCCATTTCGTATATGTTCAAATCATGGTATGGGTAGAAATTGTACTTGTAGTCCTCGACGAGGTAGCGTGCGATCGCTTCTCCGTAGTAAGGCGAGAAGAGTTCGGTCGGCGTATGCCAGAGCTGGCGTAGGTCGTTCGGTTCTTGGTAATCAAGATCGTCTTCGAAGGCGGTATAGCGGTGCCGCAGCTGCTGGAAGAATTCGTGCTCAGAGCCCATGGAGTTGAAGTCGAATGGATCGCCCGGAGAGAAGATGACGACTTGCTTGGAGAAGTAGCCGTAATTGGGGTTGTACAAGCTGTCTTTGAATCCATCAGTATAGTACTACACCACAGGCAAGATTCCCAACCTTCTATAAAGTCGCGCAACAACATCTTGACTCTGCGCGGTCTTTCTCTCCTACTCCGCAGCATGTCCGCTGTGACCATTGGGTATCTCTCAAACTCTTCCGTCCTCTCGTGCGGGAATGCATTCTTCCTCGGCGTCCATCTGCTCTCGCGCTTCGTTTCTCCCTCACCCAACCGTGTGGCCTTGCCTCGTCTTTGGTGGTGTGGTACGCGGGCGCCTGCGAGCGCTGGTCGAGCTCCGCGGGCAAGACATTGCGACGCTCGATGCGAGAACAGCTGGCGGAAGAGCTGCGTGGCGAGCGGCGAGTCCATTGGTGCCAGAGACAATTGTCACGAATGCGTCGCGACAGCAGTGGTGGCTGTGGTCTTCCGCGCGAATGCACGTGGTGAGCTTTGCGGGAAGCCGCGCCAAGACGGGGATACCACCAGCTCCGATCGCGTCAACTCTGCAAACTGCACGCCACAACTCCCCAACTTTTTGAAAAATGGTGGATCGCTCCAAATATTACCTCTTAGGCGCTTTGCTGCTAGGGATTGCTCTGACGACTGCATACAACAAAAAGAGGTCGATAGAAGGAATAGATAATGCAGATCAACTTCTGGCGCAGCAGCAAAAATGGCTATCGCAACTCGCAAAAATTAATGACTTGGAAACGTTGAAGAAGAGTTTACTGGAATTTGGTGGTGGGCACGGCGCCGTCAACATCAAGGAAGGCATCGAAGGATGCATAGGCGACACGCCCCTCATCAAAATCAAGTCACTTTCGGAGTTTACAGGATGTGACATACTTGCAAAAGCTGAGGTAGGAATACTTGCATGGATTTATTTGCCCTGGAATGTCGCTAACGTGAATAACAGTTCCTCAACGGAGCCGGCAACAGTCCAAAAGACAGAGTCGCTCTAAGCATCATCGAGATGGTACGAGAAGACTCTACTCCGCCTCCGGTTTACATCATGTATGTTTGCTGATTCTCATAACAGGCTGAAGAGAAGGGTCTTTTGATCCCACACTCTGGTGACACCATATACGAAGGCACTGTGGGGAGCACTGGTATATCATTAGCCGCTATTTGCAGAGCAAGAGGTTACAAAGCACACATGTAAGTCGTCATCTGACTCAGAGGTGTGTTGGCTGACAAGCGAAGCTGTATGCCAAACGACATGGCAATCGAGAAGTCAGATCTCCTCCTGAAGCTTGGTGCTGAAGTAGAAAGAGTGCGCCCGGCGCCTATCGTGGACCAGAAACAATTTGTCAACCTCGCACGATCGCGAGCAGAAGAGCACACCGCAAGTTCCGAAAAGCCTGGGAGAGGACTGTTCGCCGATCAATTCGAAACGGAAGCCAACTGGCGCGCACACTTCACTGGCACGGGACCTGAGATCTATGAGCAAACTGGGCGTCGTGTAGATGCTTTCGTTAGCGGCGCTGGCACTGGAGGAACTATCTCTGGAGTAGCGTTATTCCTGAAGTCCAAATTACCCGACATCAGGGTCGTCCTTGCGGATCCCCCTGGCAGCGGCTTGTTCAACCGCGTCAAGTACGGTGTTATGTTCGACCCCAAGGAAAGAGAAGGAACGCGGCGGCGACACCAAGTGGACACAATCGTTGAAGGGATCGGCATCAACAGAGTGACTCACAACTTCGACGTTGGTAGGGAGCTGATCGACGATGCCATCAGGGTTAACGACGAGCAAGCAATTTCCATGGCGCGCTGGTTGGTTGAGCACGATGGCATCTTTGTTGGAAGCTCTAGTGCTGTGAACTGTAAGTTGTGAAGCGTTCAACAGCAGGCGGCACTGACTTATTGAAGGCGTCGCTGCCACGAAACTTGCAAAGACACTTGGCCCAGGACACCGCATCGTCACCATATTATGCGACAGGTAAGCCAATGTCTCAAACCTCTAAGTATGTACTAACACCTTCACAGTGGTGCAAGGCACTTGAGCAAGTTCTGGAAAAATACCGAACCAGTTGGTGGCGCCGAGAACGATGTGTCTCTCCAAGCCATTCTCGACGCTTGAGGCTTCCTTCCATTGACGCTATCTGCCTTCAGATACCTGACGCATGCAAGGCCTTCATTCCCATTATCTATACCCACCACAGTTTTCGAAAACGAAGAGGTTGACAAATTCACCGCTGGTCGTGTCTGAAACGGAGCTGTACAGCGGCGTTCAGATCGTGAAAGATTTGCCAACGCATCACAATGTAAGCCAACACGCCACCGCATCCTCAACAAGGGTGATCAGCCCCCGCCTTCATCAAGCACTACCATCACTACCATGGATGCGCAACATTGTGCAGTAGCAGCCTTCCATCATCCACACGGAGACAATGGACACGTGACAGGAGAAAGACAAAGGCTCTACTCTTCACGAGATACTAGGAGTCAGAAGAGCAAGTCTTGAGCGGCGGTGTCTTAACAAAGAGCAAAGCTCCAACAAAACCCATTCTTCTGACAGCCGCCACGCCCGTTTGTGTCGCCTTTATATACTACGGCGACCCCTCAACCCTGCATGCTACACACTCCCGGCTGGTTCACACCAAATATCGTCGCACACGTCCTCCTGCAGCAAACTTTCTTCATTCAGCAAGCCCTTGCCCGACCAGGATCTCTTTACCAAACGAACATATGCCTAACCGACGCATGAGCGATACAAACGGAATCAACAAAGCAATAAGTCCTACATCGAGCATTGTGCAAAGGCGAATAGCAAGAAAGATGTCACCATGGAATCGCAACCCAGCCCTCGCAAATAAAATTGCCGAAATGCGCCTCACCATCGCCCCCATAGTGCACGTGGAGACAGGGATACCAGCACCCGAGTTCCCCTCTACAATGCTCGATCTTTTCCTCCTCACCGAAGCGCAACTCGACGCGCTAGCTGCCTACTATTCCCAAACAAATTCAACAGACCTCACAAACCAATATCCCCAGACAATGAACTGGCAACAACCCTTCTTAGACGCCAGCGATGCCTTACCCGAAAATTGTAAACTAGGTGAGCTGGAACGGTTAAAGATCAAGATGAGGATGTTTGCGAGGTTCATTGGTATGAGGGGTGCGGATACACCGCGGTGGGAGTATGATCGTCAGATTGAGATTTTGAGGAATAAGATCCAGAGGAGGATTATGGATGAGGAGGAGAAGGTGCTGAGGAAATTTTATCAAGGTCCTGTTAGTAGGCCATGAGGGCTTAGAAGGGTGTCGGGCGTGCTGATCATGCGTGAGGATAGAGGGAGGTTGCAGCTTTGTTGGCGCCTTCCGTTAATGCGCTTCGTATATGTCAACAATGTATCCTCTAGATTTTACCATCCTGTATTCCAAGAATAGTGGTCAGATTGCAGCAATACGCGGACAGGGTATTGGATGTGTGCTTTTCTGGTAGTACCGAATTTCAACCATGGGTTCGCAAACCGCAAAACCATTCCATATCCCTCACACAATAGCATAAAATACTTCCAACACCAAACTTGAGACTCCTCAGCTCATAGATTCAACATACCATCCACGCCACCATGAAGCTCTACATCAACATCCTCCGCCTAGCCCTGTGCGCCGCCGCCACCGCCTCCGTGCACCTATCCGAATCCCAGCTGCGTCAAAACCCCGACACAATCCCTCTCGCAGATCTCGAACCCACAACACCCCTCAAACAGGTAAGTCAAGAAACTAAATCCCCCTCTGCATGAAAAAATCGCCTAACAAAACCTAGTGCTACAACTACTGCATGGTCACGCTCAAGTACAAGGCCCGCCGAGGCGGAGAAGGAGATTGGAATTACATCCGCTGCTCGAAGGCATGCAAGGAAGATCCGAACGTGAGTGAGACCAGGATAGACGTCTGAGCATCTCTGTGGGTGTGGTTGTGGACTTGGGTGTGCTGACGAGGGTGTAGTATGCTGAACAGCCTACTGAGACGTGGCGGGCGATGTTTGTGTTGCAGGCGAAGGACTGTGAGCGCGTGGCAGATGAGTTTATGAAGGAGCATCCGCGTGATGCTATGGATCTTCCGGAGCATTTGAAGCGTCTGGGGTGTTGAGAGGAGCGCTTTGCGGGTTAATGAGGGAAGCCACAGTATACATTCGGAATACAAGACCGAGAGGATTTGGACATCTTCAAGTAGGTTGTAGTACAGTCAGCTCTCGCGATCATATGAAGATACCCGAGAGCTCTTGGAAAAAGGCTGTATCGCGTCCCAAAGCACTAGCTCAACGATCAGTACAAAAGGAAGGCATGCGAAAGCCTGCCATATAAACCCTTCTCTCGCGACGGTATCCTGCTTTCGCACATGGTTATCGTTTGATTGCTGATTGGAGACGCGCGTCTTCAGGATGTTGAGCGTTTTGACGATGGCTCATTGGATAGGGTTTGGAGTTCAATGGATCAAGCCATCACTCAAGGGTTCAGGAACCATGCCACCTCTGTTCTCTCCGCACTGAAGCGATCGCACCCGAACGCGTCAAGAGGGTTCACATCTATTTGAACAACAGCGCAGCCACCAAGTTCTAGGAAATAACTCCTCCATCATGAAGCTCCTTACCAACATCCTCGGTGTTGTCTTGTGCAGTGCCGTTGCCGGCACTGCACAGGCACCTGGCTTACAGCAAACTCCCGACATCGAAGTTCCGAAAGCCCAGCCCAGTATCGACGTACTCCGCGAGAAGGTAACCTGCCAGGTGAGATTGAGACGTACCCTCCAGTAATATCTAAAATCTAACGGAGTATAGTGTATCAGGTACTGTTTCGATGGACTCGCCGAAGAAGATGAAGCTCCTGCTGAATGTACTCGTGCGATCGGTTGTGCATACACATGCGGCACAACGAAAGTTCCAGACGATCGCTTGAAGTACATGCTTCACTATGGTTAGGCGACAGAGGGGTTTAGTAGGGTCAGTGCTAGAATATGTCCTCACCAGCACCAAAACCTTACTTACTCAGCGCAGGCAACCAAATACTATGGCAGACAAGCCTCCGTAAGTTCGCACAAGGAATCACGTTCATATCAGTGCCGAGAGAGATGTACTGACCAAATGACAGTGGCTGCGGGATCTCCTTGATGCGGACATTCGATATCCGTCTGCGGACCCATACAAGCACTACGGACAAATTTTGGAAGATTTCGAGAAGCTGGAGAGAACGTTCACTCCGTATACGACAGATGAGATGAAAGGACTGGGACGAAGGGGGAGTTCCGAAGAGGATGTCAAACGAACTGCCCTACTACGAGATGGAAAGCCGTTTGAGTCAACGCCAGCAAATGAAGGCACAGACGCTCCATCATCCAGAGATCTCCTTGGCGCGGACACTGATTGGCCGTCTGCGGACGAGGACGAGGATGAGTCATATGCGGAATTTCTGAGCAGCAGTTGGGAATATGCTGAGAATATCCGTGCCTTGAGGGATACTGACAGGATGTATGTGGTGGAAGCCCCGGAAAAGACGGGTGTATCATCAGAGGGTTCCAACCGCTATTGGTTGTATACGTACGACGGTCGCAGGTACGGGCCGTACGACAACAAAGCTCAGGTAGAGTTCGCACTTTGAGCGCGGTTACGTCATCTTCTCCACCATTGAAATGAGAAAGAGCCTTCTGGTGGTTCATCTTGCGTTGATGGAGGGGTGAAGTAGGGTAGAGCGGCTTCTCCAGATCATTTGTAGTACCTCGGGGGTGGTGATACTGTCTAGAGCAACGATAGCTGAACCTACATCTCCTTTTAGATTGCGCAAAGCACTGCGATGCATGTGAATCCGTGTACGTCAACAGCAAAGCTGATGATAAAGAGCCGCAGCCGAATTGACCACCTCACGCTAGCCCTCCGGTAACACTATACCTCTTCCGTCCAAGCACCAAACCGCCAACGGCCCGGGAGATCGACAGAGCATCGGCAAAGCTTCGCTCGCGTTCGCCCATCACTCACCAGCACTTCGCCAATACTGCTCCTTCCCCGCTCACGATGCGCCCGAGCCCCCGGGTTCTCTCACGCCACCACAATTTATCGTGAAAATGCCACCACGCGCGCGTCCCCGCCACCGACCCTTGACCATCGCAACCATCTGCGGTACCACATCGCTCATCCTACCCACCGTCACGCTCATCCGCCTCTACACCATCGCGGCGCTACCCGTATACTCGCTCATCTACGCTGGCTTGATAAGCGGGGTGACGTTTCTCTTCTATGGCTACGATAAGATGCAGGCGCGGAATCTGGAGTGGAGGGTCAAAGAAGTGACGTTGCATACACTGGCGATAGTCGGAGGGTGGCCGGGAGCATTGGCAGGCATGCACTATTTCCAGCATAAGACGAGGAAGGTGAGGTTTCAGGCTGTGTTCTGGGGGATTGTTCTGGGCTGGGAGGGGGTCGCGTGGCTGGTGTGGAGTGGTGGGGTACAGGTTGGATAATGAGGAATTGAAACAAGTCTATCAAGACGACGGGGAAAGATTTCATTAGGGATATGGGAGGCCGTTATGAGAGCCATGACGGTCGTGAGAGTACGGCGCAAACCTGCCGGGACGGTACACAAGGAGAAGGCTACCGTGAGAGGAGCCACAAAGGAACCACCAAACGCCTACCGAGGGTATGTCCAACATTCGCCTTCTGCTGTCGTGTCGCTACTCCGCTTTCTTCCGGACGTCTCTCTGAATCGTCTCCTTGGATGCGATAACCCATCCCCGAAGGCATTCGAGCAATGCCCTCAGACACGCCTTCACCACCTCCTAGTGGAACCGGTCCGAGATCTTCTTCGATACGTCCTTGGTCTGATCCCAGACTTGGGTCGCCGCTCGGACTGTACAAAAGAAGAGGCATTAGCGACCGGTGAGCGGAGATGTGAGTCTATCAGCGCTTTCACCAGCTTGCTCTCCAATGGGATTCTGCATGGCGCCGCCCGCGAGGTTGCTGATTCCTTGCTTGAGGTTCTTGACGTCTTCTTGGTCGGAGGTGGGGATTTTGTTGATTTGGTCTGCGAGGTGTTAGTGTTTGCGGCATGGTGTTTGTGAGTATGGAAAGACTCACCCTTGGCCATGTAGGACATCTTGTTCTCGCCCATGGTCTGGAGGGCTTGCTTCTCCATCTTGCGCTTCATCTCCGGGGAGATACCGAAGAAGTAGAAGTAGCCGGCGGCCAAGGCGATCAAGCCAGCGAGGATGGTGAAGATGCCGATAGCCATAGTGGAGACTATGCGGTTGCTCGTTTGTGTGTGAGAGTTTGTGAGGAAATTGGTGTGTAGTGCTGCTACAGAGGAGATTTGGCAGAATAAAGAAGTGATGTGCGTGGTATGGTGGGTGTTTGTCGATCAAGGCCCAGATTATGTAGACGGGAGGGCATGACGTAGGAATTCCACATGCAAACCTGCGCGCGTTGCGACTGCGGGACCAAACGAGCGGTTCCTTCTTGGCATGAACTGGGCCCTACCTGCTGTGGCGCGTGCATTCTGAGAGCATTGAAATGGTCGCGTCTCCAAGCTGCAGTAGAGTCATACTGCGAATGCAACTGTGCATTGTCTAGCGACCGTTGGTGTCGGCATACTAGAGCAGACCATTAGGGAATATACGAAAAGTACGGCCTCTTTCGTACCAGAAGAGAGATTAACTGTTCGGCTCTTAAGGATATGATTAAGAAGCTGCGAGCAGAGAGATGTCTATGCTTCGCGAGTCAAGATGACAGTCCCTGTTGAGCCTGCCCGACGCGTGTATACTGCAACAGAACGTGTATGCAATGTCCGCCCACTCATCTGATAGTACGTGGTAGCATCGACCTGTGGTCAATTGAGCCTGACAAATATGGCATGGAGAAAGCGTTGAGGGCTGCTGCTAGGTTTTGAGCCATCCGCTGGCGCTGCGCCTCAAAGGCTCAAACCCTGGAGGCCGCGAGGCGGACACGAACATCGAATGCGCCTGCCCCACAGCCAGGCTAGGTGCTACTCCAGCAAGCCTTCCAAGACGCTCGACCTTTGTTGCTGACCCGGTCCAATTCCGTGCCTCCTTTTCACGACTTTCCTTTGCAGCCTTGCCTTTTGCTCCTAAGACAGCATTGCTACCTAACTGTTGTTTCTTACCCCTCACCCACCCCACCACCAGCTGAACGCGCCTGATAGGCACCCCAAATCTCACCCTCAGCCTGAGACGACGCTCGCGGCAGTCGTATAACTGCTTACCAGCTCGCCCATCATGAGTTGTACTTCCCTCCCTGCGGTGCGCATTGCGATATCCAGGACTGACTGCTGGTCTAGTGACAAACATGCTCAACAAGCTGCACGGCCAGCCCGACAGCTATGATCGCAAGTCTGTATCCTGCTGCCCTGCGCCCCGACGTGTACTGAACATGCCATTCACAGATCACGATACCGCTTCGGAAAGACACTCGGCGCCGGAACCTACGGTATCGTCAGAGAAGCTGACTGCCCCGAGGGCAAGGTCGCTGTCAAGATCATCTTGAAGAAGAATGTGCGCGGCAACGAGCAGATGGTGTACGATGAGTTGGAGATGCTGCAGCGCATGAAGCACCCTCACATTGTCAAGTTCCACGATTGGTTCGAGTCAAGGGTACGCGCGATACGGGTCCCTTCTGTGGGACTGTGGAGCTGACACCTGCCAGGACAAGTACTACATTGTAACCCAATTGGCGACGGGTGGAGAGCTCTTCGATCGCATTTGCGAGAAGGGCAAGTTCACAGAAAAGGACGCCGCTGAGACAATCCGACAAGTACTCGATGCAGTCAACTACCTCCACAAGAACAATGTCGTTCACAGAGGTATATTCTCCGCCTCGGATCGGATGCGACTACAGCAGCTAATTCCGAATAGATCTCAAGCCAGAGAACCTGTTGTACCTCACACGCGACGCGAACTCCTCCCTCGTACTTGCGGATTTCGGTATCGCCAAGATGCTCGACTCGAAGAGCGAAGTCCTGACCACCATGGCTGGCTCATTCGGATACGCTGCTCCTGAGGTCATGCTCAAGAAGGGTCACGGAAAGCCCGTTGACATGTGGTCCATGGGCGTCATCACATACACACTGCTGTGCGGATACTCGCCGTTCCGGTCAGAGAACCTTGCGGACCTGATTGAGGAATGCAAGAACGGTCGCGTCATCTTCCACGAGCGCTACTGGAAGGAAGTGAGCCCGGAGGCCAAGGAGTTCATCAAGAAGCTGCTAGAGCCCAACCCAGACAAGCGACCAACCAGTGAAGTACGATGAAGCAGTCAGGGTCTGTTGGAATGCACTAACAATACTAGGCTGCCCTCAAACACGTGTGGCTCAGCGGAAGCACTGCTACCGACCACAACTTGGTGCCAGAGATCAAGGCGTACGCGGCAAAGGCCCGTCTCAAGCGCGGCATCGAGCTCGTCAAGCTTGCCAACCGCATCGAAGCGCTCAAGATGCAAGAAGACGAGGAAGAGGATGTACCAGGCGAGGCAGACGTGCCCGCCAACGCTCGCGAGGCAGCCGGTGAAGCCATTGCATCGCATTCCGAGGACAAGAGTTTGGCAACCAAGGAGAACGCAGACACAGGCAAGGGACCTGGACGCCTAAGCAGAATCGCAAAGGGCGCCATCTTCCGGGAAGTTGTGCTAGCCAAGGTGCGCGAGATGAAGGAAGCGGAGGCGCGAGCGGAGTTCGAGAAGAAGGCGTCGGAGCCGGTGCAGAAGTGAGAGAGAAGTTCTGGACGACTTTCCTTGTTTCTGGCGTGATCCTACAAACATGTTGAGTTTGCTGCAGTATTAGCGGAGGTCTCGTTTCCCAAGTATACCCCTGGAAGATAGCGACCAGGCCCCACTACCTAGAAACAGTTGATTGGCTGAATGACATTGTTTGAAGCGTGATGCTGCAAGTTCATGTGTTTACTATTTGTCGTGGCCATGGTGTGGTGGAGGACGCATCTGGTGATGCAAGCGGACCGTGCGCGGGGGCTTGGCAAAACTGGGAAGCCTAGATTGAACACTGCGGCGCGTCCACCGGGTTGACGACGGAACGCGCATTTCACTGCACCGCCGCCACGATCCCTAGCCGCCTCGAGACGCTCGGCAAACCACTCAGTCCGACTACGCGATCACGAATCAACCGGAAATGGAGAGCGCGGCCAAGCGCAAAGCCGCGAGTGCTGCAGCGGGCGACCACGACGGGCGCCCTGCGAAGCGACAAAAAGGGACGGTACGTGCAGGCTGTGGTGGTGGGCGATGCATCGTCGGGCGTGTCCTGGAGATGGACGAGGCGTGATGGGCGCGTTGCGGGATGCTCCTTAGTCCAGCAGCGCGACACCTGGGGGGTTCGACGACCAGGCCATCACCCCGTCGGCCCCTCATCAATCCTCAACACCACGCGCGCGCCGGCGATGCACTCAGCCATGGCGGGAATTGGATTAGACAACAATGAGAACAATGCTGACAGGAGACCGCTTCCGTGCAGGCCGAGACGCCCAATTCCCGATCAGAGACGGTTGAGTCGACCACGACGGCAGGCTTGAAGTTCCTCGACAGCTTGAAGCAGGCCAAGGACAAGACGTACGTGACGCCCTTCTGACGCCTGTCGCACTGGCAGCTTCC